CGTCGTGTGTGTGTGTGAGGGGAACAGGGCCTCATCACAGCAGTGAACAGCCTGTCAGAAATTATAGCACGTCAGCTGTCTTAACCGCGGCTTGTGTACTGCATCATCACTGTCTGTCACGTGACTCTGTTCCCCTTTCGGGCTTGAACTGATGGTAAATCTAACGACATTATTAACTGTCAGAGCAGACTGCGCTTGTCAAAGGAGGGGGCTTTGTAGAAAACGAAGCGTTTGAGAGAGGCGGGGCATAGAGGCCCTACAATAATATAAAGTATTTGAAAAATAATGTGTTTTTTGAACATTAAAGCATGTCAACATATTCTGTTACACCAAATACACAAAATAATGATCTTTAAAATGGCATCATATGACCCTTTTAATTTCTTTATTTTATGTGCAAAATTGTTCATCCACACGCAAAGCTGACTTGAATCTCCTGTTTTCCTATTTTTCTTGTTGAATCTCTCTCTTGTTTCATTCTTGAGGCTTATAAATAACAAAAACAACAACAAAAATTAAATTTTTTAATGCATTATGGTTATATTCAATTAAGTTAAATTCAAGTTTATTTGTATAGCGATATAACCCATTAAGGGCCTTATAGGCAAGTAATAATATTTTGTAACTGATACGGAACTTAATAGGTAGCCAGTGCAGAGACTGTAAAATTGGGGTAATATGATCATATTTTCTTGACCTGGTAAGGACTCTAGCCGCTGCATTTTGGACTACCTGTAGCTTGTTTATTGAAGATGCAGGACAACCACCTAGCAGTGCATTACAATAGTCCAGTCTAGAGGTCATGAATGCATGAACTAGCTTTTCTGCATCAGAAACAGGTAACATGTTTCGTAGCTTGGCAATGTTTCTAAGATGGAAGAATGCTGTTTTTGTAACATGGGAAATATGATTTTCAAAAGACAATTTGCTATCTAATATAATATTATATGAATATTATGATTATTCAAAGATATTTAATCCTTTTTTTCCTGTGTATATAATCTCATTCTATGATGTACGCAAAAGCCTTTATAGTTATGTTTTCTGTTTCTTGTCATTGATTGTTCATTGTTAAAGATACTACCATTTTCCCCTGAGGTTGTATGTAATTATAAGTTCTGCAGTAATAATAATAAAAAGAACATAAGAGCGACAGGTGCACAAACACCTCATAGCATCAGTGACATGACGACCCTACCTAGTACGTTTTCCTCCGTGTTTGCAATATCTGCACAAAGGAGACATCGATCAGCTGCTCAAAGATCTTGTCTTTGGAGAAGACTGTTTATTTTACACTCAAAAAATGTAAGTATTACTACTTAGAAATTAAGATTACCTCAGAAAGCATTGCTAGCCCACCCCAACACTTTTGAACAATAATAATTATAAATGCTGACCAATAATTATTTTTTTTAGTAAAACAAACAAAATGTAATTTGTTTTGTCATATGCTATAGCTATGCATGACTTCACACAAGACAAATGCAGCCAAGGTGAATACATCTCAATTTTCAGTAAAGTAATGAATTAATGCATATGTCAATGATCTGACAATCATGTATTTACAGGCGGTGAATCCACATCTACTGCCATCTCAACACAGCTGTGCCAATTCTGCAGCTTTATTCTGATGAACCGTGCCCACCTTCACCTGTCTCTGCCATCCATCACGACCTTCATTGCTGCAGTCAGACTGGAATCTGATCATGGATGGGAAAGGGACATCGAGGCTATCATTGCCTGAGTGCACAGAGAGGATGAGGAAGACCATGATGACGCCCCTAAGCAACACAATCTTGAACAAGAGCAGGAGAACATGTGTGGGACAAACTGACTGCTGCTGTGTCTGCTCCAAACATTTGTGTACTGCTCTCCATGAGCACCACTACCTGTAAAACATTTACACAGAGTAAAACATTTTACATCTCATGCTGTCAGCATTTCATTTCTTGTCAAATTTAATTTCATATGTTTACAACTGCATGCTAATTTTTGATATAGCTTCATTACTTTTGTAGTGTAGTGAACTGGTCAGCAGAAGGTTGCTGGATCGATCTCCGCAGTCGTCACCACCGCTGTCTTTACTCCAGGTTGCTGCTGGGGGATTGGGGTCCCTGTGATTAGAACACTAAGTCATTTCGAATAAAAGTCTCTGCCAAATGAATAGACGTAAATGTGATTTTTGTAAATGCTTTTTTGTGTCTTGGGCACAAACGCTCAATAAAGCTGCTCATTTCTTAAAGTAATATAAATGCTTACATATGTTTCATACAATTTCTATTTGGGGCTTTAAAGGGTTAGTTCATCGAAACATAAATTCAGCCATTATTTACTCGCCTCCACACTGTTCAATCCTTGTGTGTGTTTTTGTTTTTTCTGAACACAAATGGTGAGTTTGGTCAAGTTTGTCCTGCTGGTTTGTGTTCATACAATATCAGTCAATAGAGCCTGACTTTCAGATTCTTCATGATATTATTTGATGATTCTTTTGAAGCTTCTGAAACTCGGGTTTCATTGACTGATGTTGTTTGAACAGAAACCAGCAGAACAAACTTGACCAAAATCACATCCTCATAGTCTTTTGGTCTTCCTCTAGATGCTCTCGCTGGCTCTGGGCTCACTGAGGATGAAGAGACCACAGCAACATCCGGTCCTGATGAGGCAGTAAGAGGTGGAGTGATGGTGCGTCTCATTCATAGCACTGGACCATTTCTAGGATGCTGAAAATGATGCATCTTCACAGCTCACACCAGTCTGCAGACATTTCAGATCCTGCAAAGATGCACAAACACAATACAAAAGCAGTAATTTTAACAGCACAATGTTATTTGACTTCTGTATTAGAAGAAACAAAATGATCTTACTTTATATTTTTGTTTCAGGTTTTCCCTTTTTTCCACAAATGCTGCTATCACCTGCTCCACCACAAAAGCTCTGTATCAAATGCACATATATCAAGAATCAGAAAAGTGCTGTAATAACTCTGTTTAAAATTACAATAATTAAAATAAACTACAACTTAAGATTTAAAAGATGTTTTATTCATTACTATAGTGTACTCCCTCAAAGCATTCAGCATTGCTTCATCAGTCACTCTGCACCGGATAAACAC